CTTGCTTTTCGAATCAGTAAAGACTGTCATGGTAATTGTCTTGTTTTTTTCTTTATTAACGTTAGTATTGCTCACTCCTTACCTGGAGATTCTTAACGTTGATCTATAAAATCAATTAAAAACTCCGCTTTGACTGATATGATAACTATTTTCGAATCCTATTGGGTTTATACTTGCTTTTCGAATCAGTAAAGACTGTCATGGTAATTGTCTTGTTTTTTTCTTTATTAACGTTAGTATTGCTCACTCCTTACCTGGAGATTCTTAACGTTGATCTATAAAATCAATTAAAAACTCCGCTTTGACTGATATGATAACTATTTTCCCCTTCCTACGGCACCTTTGTTAAAGAATTGCATCCGCAGCTGTTTAGAACAACAGGATGCATTGATTTATTATTCTTCCCTTGTATGAAAATCATACTTGGCTAAAGTCTTGTGGCGTCTGTATCATAATAATGCTTGTGAGACAATTGGACAGGCTCATTCGTGGTTCGTATAAAGGCCTGAATCACCACTTCTCCAGAGTATTGGCTTGAACATTGGCATTCATACCATCAGCAAATCATCTACTCATCGATTACACAAGCATTCAGCTTCTTTTTGTTTCTCACCACAGTTTACTTCGTTTGAGACTTGTGTGTGCCATTTAGCACAGCAGTTATTTGGAGGATGTGGTGAATTTGGCTTTAGATGTTGGATACTGTAGTAGAGGCTCTGATGATCAGCATTATACAGGAGTTGATGGTGGCAGTATGGTGGAAATGATAAAAAAAAACTGATAATGTATTTGTTCTTTCTTTAGCAAAAAAGATGTGTATTTGTTCCTGTACAAGATGGTGCCTTTGGAAATTAGCTTCCTAAACAAGGATATTTAATACTATTTTTTTTTTTCCATAGACCATATGTAAAATCAGTTAAAATTATGCCTTGAGAAAAAAGCGACACAAATAATCAAAAAGTGGTTCCCATGACATGAGGATTATAGATGGGATACACTTTCTATTAGATATGATGGCGGTAATATGGAAAATGTTGAGAAACAAAAAATATGTACGTTATTAGTTTTTCAATGTCCTTAACCAACTTTCGACGCATAGACGTCAGGTTTGAGCTTTTGCACACCAACCATGTCTAGCTCAACTATTTGAGTTTAATTTGATTATTTCATCGATTTGAGTTTTTAATTTTTATTTTGTTATAGTTAAAAGTTCTCATAAAAAGTTATATCTAATTTTTTATGTTATAATTTAAAGCTCTTATATAAAATCACATCTTATTTTGAATTGAAAACTCAAATCGGTAAACTAATGCCTCGTTCACTTCGCAGATTTGAGTTTTTAATTCGAGTTGAGATGTGACATTTTCTGAGAGCTTTTCACTGTAGCACAAAAAGTTAATGTGACATTTTCTGAGAGCTTTTTACTGTAAAAACTTAAAACTGAAAACTCAAATCGGTGAAATGAATGAGGCTTAAATGATTAAATTCACAATTTGAATCATGCTGCGGTTAAAACTAATGGTTGCTAGACCAAACAAATTGAACCATTTAGAATTGAGATTCGAATTCTAAACTTACAATTCAAAATTCATGCTCTCCTAAATTCTAACGGTTTGTGCAGTGAAAACATATTTTTTGTTTTGTTTTTTTTTTTCTCTTTTACTTCATGTTTCAAAATGCTATAACTTTTTGTTTCAACTTCAACGGAGGTGATTTTTCTTCTTACATGTTTATAATAAAAAGGAACAAAACCCTATCATATTGCATATTAAAATCCGTCATTTATAATAAGGTTTTATAAGATTCATTACAAAACTCTAATTACAGTTTTCAATACTATATCCAAACACCAAGTTATGTTTCGCTCCCATTTTGAAATGCAATTTATCTGCATATCCAAATGCCGTTTCAAATCACTCTACTTCAGATTTTAGTTCAAATCACTACAATTCAAATTGTCGAACCAAACACGGGCACTACATTTTTAAAAAAATTTAGGGTTCTTAAGTTTATTATCCTTAGCAAATAGAAACTTTATATTATGTCAAATTTTAAAGTCAAGTGAGTTTTAGACATGATAAAGTTGATAGAATACACTTTAGATTATTGCACCACATGTTAAGTACGTGCAAATTTTTATTAAAAGTTCGAACATACAATTTTTTATTAAATATTTCATCTATCAAAGAGAACGAATGTTACGTCTTAAAATTTGAGAGACACTTTTTTTATAATTGCTACAATTGAGAGGGATTTTGATAATTAGTATGTTATAGGGATGAAAGAAATTGTTTATAAATCATATTATTTGCAGATAAATCCATAAAATAACTCACTTTCTTATTTTTTGTTAACCATTTCTTTAGTTAGGTGCCTAGTCATTATGTTTTATAACTACCTTATAATGGATTTTTTTTTTATTAAAAAGTGTTTGTTTTGCATATTTTTTTAATTTGATAGTGATTTTAATTAAATTTAACAGTCAGAAATTAACCTTAATTGTAGGCCGACCTGGCTGAAGAAGGTCCCATGTCTTAAAACCTGTAGCAGTAAAGGATATTAACCATATCTATAATTGAATTTCCATTTTATGCTTACGAATATCTCACCTGTAGTCTATAGATATACGATATATGTGTGATGGCCAGTCTGAAGGAATCTAATCCTGCTATGGCTTATCGACGTGCCATGGGACAATATCAGAATCCAAAGAACGTGCAAGGTGGTTGAACAACAACAACAATAAATACAAGTCTTAATCTCAAATTAAATGGGGTCCGCTATGCAAGGAGGTTGAAATTAAATAGATTAACAACAGACTGAAACAAATAGAGATCATAATAATCAGATGCAAATGCTACTATATAAGGACCAAATTAATGGGTTTAAACTCTTAAAAGGGCAAAAAAGTGCTAGTTCTTCTCTTCCTTTCTCTTAATAGTTCGTTTCTTTGGACTACAAATAATGTATGGCTTGTTCTTTTGAGTGAAAAACTTAAAAAAATGTAACTCGAGTTACAACTTTATTCGAGTTCATGTTCTTTTAAGTTTAAACTCGAGTTTATGACTAAAACTCGAGTTCAAGTTTCCCTTTCAACTCGAGTTCAGAAACTCGAGCTCAAATTAATGAACAATAGTTTTTCTATTCTTAAAAATGCTATAATTTTTTCGTTTTAATTCTGATTGAGATGATTTTTTTTCTATGCGTTGACAACGAAAAGACGAATAAAACCCGACCCATATACCATATTAAAATTTTTCATCAGCATTGAGTTTTTATTAACATACTATCTAAATACAAATTCAAGTTTTGACTCACTCAAACACAAATTTAAAAAGATTCTTATCTCAAACCATAACTCAAATGTACACAATTAAACACAAACTCAAGTTACAAGTTCAACTCAAGTTATAATTTAAATTTAACTTAAAAATTATACTCAAGTTAAACTCTAAAAGAACATGTCTGCAATCTCTTAACGCAACCATCGTTGAAATATTTCGTTATAAATCTTTGCAGCTTGAAGTCAAAGAGAATAATCAGTCGGAAAATTCAAACGTCGAGGAAATGAGGAGCTGAACTTGAGTCTTTCGGCTTTCTATTTTCGCAGCTGGTGACTTGATCATCTGATACTACTACTAGCTCCCTCCTGATTCCTTTCATAAAAAACACGTACCCAATTCCAAAAGAAAACCAGAAAATCATAAAGAGGATCTGGAAGACGGCAAAAAGCATGTCTCCGATGGGTAGGGCTGCCATGGTACGCTTCAAAATATCTACAAGAACGCTTGTGTGATAAAACAGCCCCACGCAACACACAAGACAAGAGCAAGTACTAGAGCCCAATTCGTTAAAAAATGAAGTCCTGGCGTAGGAGTCATCTTCCCCCTGATCAAGAGGAGAGAACGAGATTGTTATATAATTAATCCATCAAATGTTTGTTTGGTCCACAAAAAAATAAAAATCACACCCTTCTTAATTCCCACTTTATGTATTCTAATTATATAGAAAGAGACAAGAAACCCTTAATTCAATTATCCCTAATACCAAGAAGCGCATGAAAAGTGAATTAATTCATGAACACAATATTTTTCAGCCATCTATATTACCAATTATTCATCATCTCATTAATCCAAAGTAATTTTTTATTGAAAGCGTTAATCTCGAACAAAACTTAAGAACCATCCATAATTCAGCTTCTATTCTAAGATATATAGCAAGATCCTCCCCCAAATAATTGATCACTTCAGTAGTAGATCAACAATGAAGGAACACATGAATCAAAATAATCTACTATATGTATTTAAAAGAAAAAGAAAGTTAAGCATCTCTATTAAACTAATTAAAGATCGGATTAGCAAAAAAAACTAATTAAAAATCGTACATCCATAATTACAGAGAGAATTACTGTATCTTATCTAACTTACAAATTCTCATCATCGTCATCATCGTCGGTTGAAGATCTCCTGCCCTTTAGCACAATCTCGAAACTCACAAGAACGCCGTATGTGAAAATATATATGAGAAAGATGGAAAACAAGGCAGAAATCACATCTGAGGACTTTGATAACGCCGCATCATTATTGATGTCGAAACAATCAGCAATAATGCTTGCGTGAAAATAAATACCGCCCCAACAAATAAAAGCAAGCGGTAGAGTACAAGTAACTAAAGTAAGCCCGCAAAATTTAGCATCCATATCTGCCCTGCAGATAGATAAAAAATAACTAGTTAATTTACCCTAGATATTTAAGAAATAGTTCTCCTATATATGTACAAACAAATAATTACTATTATGGTATACAAAGACACACAAACACACACACACACATATATATATATATATGTATATATATATATTAAGAAGGAAAAGAATATGCAGGGAGGAAAATTGCGTGAGAGATCAAATTTACCTTTCGTCATTCGCCAAGCAAACTCCCGTGTCAGTCATTATTTTTGGAATAATATTCGTCTGAGATCAAATTTCATACAACAAAAGAGCTTAATTATGAGCAAAAAGTGAAATCTAAAGTGGTGGTGGTGGTGGTTGTTTTTTAGAGATATTTATTTTTTTGATAATTTTTTATAGAGAAGAATGCCTTAAATTATCTGTGAAAACGTGTAAAAAATTATCTTTCAAAATTAAAATTTAAATCTAGTAGTAGTAGTTGTTGTTGTTTTTTAGAGATGTTTTCTTGATAATTTTTTTAGAGATATTTTTTTGATAATTTTTTATAGAGAAGAATGCCTTAAATTATCTTTGAAAACGTGTAAAAAATTATCTTTCAAAATTAAAATTCAAATCTTCTGCTTTTCTATTAGAGGACTGTTTTGTTTTTGTTATATTCTTCCTAATGATTTATTTTTGCACACCTAACGATCTAGATAATTCATTGAAACTCAATTTGAAAGTCATTGTCGTCATTTTTTTTTTTTTTTAACCGTGAGTCCAAGAGCTTATAATCCCTTTTTAAGGATTTAACATTTAATAGTCAGTCTAAAATTTAAACGCCGTACTTGTGAAACAATACATATTTATAAATTATCATTTATCTCCTTAAATCGACTATAATATTAGAATTGGAGTTTAAGAATTAGGATTACTAGGAGTTAAAAACTTAAGACCTATTAGTCTAGTGGTATTGAGGGGTTGAAGTAGGATGAGATTTGAGTGGGTGGTGCGGGTTCAATCCCGCATTGTATATAAAAAAAATTTTAACAGGAAAAGATACGACCTCCTTTATTAATAGTGGTGTTTTACAAAATTAACTTCCACTAAATCTCAAATGATATTTACATGCCTTTTAAGGTATTGTCTTGCTTGGTGGTTTGCGTATGGTTTTTCTCAGTAATTCGTAGAACTGTTGCTTTCACTTGGTTTCTCCAAGATAC